AAAAACTCCCTGAGTGTGGACGCACAAACTGACTGCACGTTGCGTGAATGTCAAACCAGTGCCTGAAAATGGCAGCCCAGCAAGTGGTCCCGCACTCGCAGACAGTCCTGCAAAGACCCCAAACTGCAATCTCCCCGTAGTCTGTTGGCTGGTAAAAGTTGCCCTCAATGCCAGGATGAGTCGACATTGGGATCCATTGAGGAAAACTCTTCACAGTCTGTAACTTGCGGACAATGCGACGGTTCACCAAAGAACTGAACCAATCATGCAGGACATGGAACTCACTCAAACGTCGAAGCTCACGACGAACCTGCAAAACCACTTGTAGAAACATGAAGTCCACGACCCGGCTGAAAAACTGCTGAAAAATTGCGTCCAACGAACAATGAATGGCCGATGGCAAACCAGTTGTCATGCAAAACCAGGTAAACGCCCAGAAGTCTGTAAATTGTTCAGCGTCCAGTCCAGATGGATCGCGCAAGCAAAATTGTTCGCTTGTACTTGGGTCAATTTCCAACCATCTGCCCATAAGAAAAAGTGCGAATGGCCATACCAAAACTAAAAATGAAAAAGGACATACCCGAGACATCCCCTGTGAAATACTGTATGCCCGAAAAAACATTGCGCTGCAAAGCACTGTGTCCAAACTGCGAAGATGATTCCAGAAAAGGTTGAAAATAGTTATCCACAGGTTCGCAGTGCTGAGTGATCTACCAAAATCCGTCATCACTGCTTGCAATTCCAGTTGCAGGAGACATTGCTTCATTGCCATGAGTGTATCTGATCTTCTCGATGAGGTTGTCCAGATGAAACTGATTAGTGCATCGCACTTGAAGTGCCTTGTTATGGCGAATACGGTGCAACACTTTTTGATCAATTCTCTGAAAAGCTTCCTGTTCAATCTGATGGGCAATGGCACTAGGAGACATGCCAACCCATCGTGGCCTCCAGAATTCAAGGTCTGGCCACTCAAGGCTTTCAGAGGAATCACCATCAGAACCATGATTCCAAGGTACATCCGGATCAACTTCTTGGTCAGAGTCAACCATGGCGACGCCGTCGTGCTAAGGGCGTGGCCACTCGAACCTGGTACACTAATTGTACCAGAGCCCAGTGACCAAACCAAGAGCACTGAAAAAATTGCCCTTATTTTAAAGGGACTCCCGCCCTCCCACCACTTGATTGGGAAAAGTCACAGCATTACAAACAATGATGTGACGTGTGAAGGATGTGGTGTTTCCTTGATGGAATTATGAAATACCACATCGAAGGTTTAGAAAATAAAATTGGAAAGTTGAACGCTAAGTTGTTTGCTTTCCAGATTTGGTTGGGTGTTTCAACGCTTAGCAAACGTTTGTTTACCACCAACCAGAGAAGATTCCTGTTGATCCTTATTTGTGAGGGTTCACAAATTTTTGTTTGGAGAAATAAGGCTTTCATCGTTTTTCAAAAGAGTGACATCAACTACACTCCACTACACTCCACTACGCTCCACTACACTCCACTACATTAAATTACACTACACTCCACTACACTAAAATTACACTACACTACACTACATTACACTACACTCCACTCCACTACACTACACTACATTACACTACACTACACTACCTTCCACTACACTTCACTACATTACACTACACTCCACTACAACTACAACTACAACTACAACTACACTCCACTACACTCCACTACACTCCACTACACTCCACTACACTCCACTACACTAATTTACACTACACTACACTACATTACACTACACTCCACTCCACTACACTACATTACACTACACTACACTCCACAACACTACAACTACAACTACAATCCACAGATAGATAGATAGATAGATAGATAGACAGACAGTTAGACAGACAGTTAGCTAGCTAGTTAATTACTTACTTAGTTAGTTAGTTTGTTAGTTTGTTAGTTTGTTAGTTTGTTAGTTTGTTAGTGTGTTAGTGTGTTAGTTTGTTAGTTTGTTAGTTAGTTTGTTAGTTTGTTAGTTTGTTTGTTAGTTTGTTCGGTAGATAGTTAGATAGATAGATAGATAGGTAGATAGATAGGTAGGTAGGTAGGTAGATAGTCAGAGAAAGAGCGAGAAAGAGTGGGAGACCTCAAGCACCTTTCGGTCCATCAGTGGATTCGCTCTGCCATCCCTGATTCACAACAACCAACCTCTCCTATAGGTTTCCTATTTTTGAAACTTCCGCCACCGCCTTGTGCGGTACTACTGGTATGTACCGCTATTCATAAGTATTTTTGGATGGATAAGGGTTACGGCTGCAGAAAGGCCCTGTCCAGCAATCAAGTGTTGGTGAGCTGTAGCCATTTCATCAATGGCGGATATAAAGAAACTGAGATATCCTGGCACAAATTCATGTCTACCACTCTCGGTGTCCTACATGGCTTCAATCGGGGTGGCCTTATGGCAGCCATGTTCGGGTTACCTCGTATATGGTTATCCCATGTTATCATGTTATCCCATTAGTTGTTGTAGCAATCGCACAAGACAAAATATAAACTTCAATGGGAAAAACCACCTGAAGAAATTGTGGTTTGACAACTCTTGGGGCCGTTGAGAATACTCGCTTGAAAAAATCGGTGGGTTATCTCCAAAGTCAACTTTTAACTTGAATCCAGACCCGTGACCCCAGATTCTGAGAGCTGTACCCTAGAATGCCCCTACCTCCTAAAATAAGGGTACGACATTGAGACTGCACCTGGAGACTGCACCAGGCGCAGTCGGAATGCCGTACCATTAATTTGGGGGGTTGGTGCCTACCCTTAAATTCGGGAATTCAGCCACTTTTGTTTGGACCCCCAAGTTCCACCGGTTTGAATCTTCGTGTGTTTATAGCACTCTACGGGTATTTATGCACTTTTAAGCCTTGCCGAACATGGTGCGCCAAAAGATGAAGTGCCGTTTTTATGTGTAAGAATTAGAAAGTGACACAAAACTAGGCAACTTCCAAGACATCTGATTTATACTGGATATATGAGATACCAATCATCAAGTCTGGGTGTATTGGAAGTATCGCCTGTTCTCCTGGTCATTCATCTCGAAGGCCATATAGTTTTGCTTGAAAATAGGGTATCTCAAATTTTGATGGTTAATCATCGTTTGCCCCATGAAATGGCTATCTTTGGGGGTACCCCGGTATACCCCATCGTAACGGACCCATGTTTGAATCATGATCAGATGCACATACCATGTGATAATACCAAAACAGCCCAAAAACACCAATTTCCATCAAATGCGCGCACCCTTCAGAAAACCTTTGAGTGAATCTCTGAGAGAATCTGGAGCTCGTTTGAGTCCTCGGTGAACCAATCCCCAAGTGGCCTGCTGATGATCATCCTCATGAGCTCGGTTTTCTAGAAATATGTACAATGTGGCGATGACAGTGTGTGCACATTTGCAACGGAAATGCAAAAATTAACGGCATAAATATACCTACAAATGTATATAGCTTGTGTGTAGGTATACGCCTAAATCAAAGATAGATTTAGGATGATTTAGGTACATATCTATCATATCTGTAGGTATGTCATGAAAAGCGAATCTTAGGTCAGGCTTTTTTGTCTTCAAGACTCTGCAGTCAAGACTTGCACCACCTATTTTTTTCAGTGGCTATATATGAAAAAGTCACTCGATCCATGGCTTGCTGGAAAATTTGATGGAGGGTTTCCCCATAGATCTGTCTGGAGAGCAATTCCATTCACCATTCTTCACCACTAGCCACTATTAACCATTAACCATTTATAACCAGATTATTAACCATTATTAACCACTTATATAACCATACTATTAACCATTAACCATTGTTCACCATATTTTTAGCCATGGTAAATATCCCAAGTTCAAAAACCACTGGGCAGCGTTTTTGGGTCCGCCCAGCCCTTTGCCCCCAGGCTGCCCGGCATTGGGTGACTTCTCTCCGGATGTGGCTCCTGACTGGCAACATCACATCGTTGCAAACCATCATCAAATTAGTAGCGATTCACCTTCTCATCTCTTCGGGGACTACTCTCTCTGAATATACAATACAAAACAATACAATACAATACAATACAATACAGTACAGTACAATACAATACAATACATATATATATATATAATATATATATATATATGCACTGCCCGCCTGTTTTCAACTCATGCAACGCCTTTACAAAGGTACGGGACAGACATGGCCCAGAATGGGATTTGCAAAACGCCTGCATCTGTCGTAAACCGAGCTGCGCAGGGTCAGATGCAGTCAAAAAAAGGCAAATTCCCCATCCAAAAGGGGCTGGGCGGGCTTTGGGTGCCCAAAATCTAACAGTCAGGAAATGCATGATGAGATCATGCACTGCCCGCCTGTTTTCAACTCATGCAACGCCTTTACAAAGGTACGGGACAGACATGGCCCAGAATGGGATTTGCAAAACGCCTGCATCTGTCGTAAACCGAGCTGCGCAGGGTCAGATGCAGTCAAAAAAAGGCAAATTCCCCATCCACTTCTGAAAAGGTCGGCACCTAGAGTGCAAGCTTCACACAGTGTTGGTTGCTAAGAAACCTGATGCCTAATGAGTAGCGAAAAAAGAGCTGCAGCAGATCGGATCCGATTTTTAGATCGATCAGGCAACCGACTCATGATGTTGTCGGCTGCAGTTTCTTGCAAATAATGTTCGAGTGTTTGTTGACTTGAAATCCTCATTCTCCACATGAGGTCCTGGATTTTTTCTCCAGATTGGTACGCCAAAATGGCGCCCCCTGCTCGAATCGAAGCAGGCGTGGGTCTCTGAGAAGAAGGGACTTCTAGTTCCACCAGAAGTTGGTCCCACTTGGCTCTAAAAGTCTGTGCAGAAAAAGGGTAAAGAGCTAGATTGCAGTTCAGAGGACCCACAACTCTCTCCAAAAAGGCCAAAATATTTTGGTCGGTAATTTTCAAATGCTGTGTTCGACCCTTGCCCCTGCGCTTGGTTTTAGGGTTGGAAACACGCAAAAAAGCTGCTGACACCAGGTTGCTAAACTGTTCGGAAGGTAAGACCAAGTCACTCCGCAAAGCTCGCAACACCTCAGAAATGCGTGCTATGCCGAAGAAACCCAGTAGCAGTACTGCTGTCCAGCGCTGCCAATTCTTCAAAATTGCTAGCGATGCCATTGCTTGACAAAGAACTGTAGCGGTTTTCTGTGCTGAACTGGTTGAAGAACTTGCCAACGAGTGATCAACTGCCATGCAGGAGAAAGGTGAGGCTTCACCCAGGGGAACCGCTGTTGAATAATGACCAGAAGATGCCTAAACTCATATAGACCATGTCCTCGTGAGAAAAGGAAAAACCCATAAAAACGGAGCAGGGCCACATAGAGTGTAGGACACAACTGCAGATCATCAATGGTCGATTCACTCAGGTGCTGATCCAACCACGTTCGGAAAGCGGTCCAAACGCGATCTTGCAAAGCCAGGGTGGCAGGTTCAACTAGCCGTACATTTTCCAACAACTTCACATCTCGGGCAACCCGTTGGGCTTTCTGAGGGCCCGGGTTCTGAGCTTCGCCAATGCGGCAGTGGCTGCATTTCGCACATCCACCGATGTTCAACTTTGTGTTCTTTTTTGTAAGCCCTGCACCAGCTGCCATTGCACTAGCTAGATCATATCCCAGTTGTTGAGGGTAGGCCTGAGCCAGTCGAGTCCAGGACATCTTTTGGGCCTTGCAACGACCACGAAGTATCACATGTGAATGATCTCCATGGCAAAGCTCACGGCGCCCACTCAAACAAGTGTTCGTCGCAATCCTTGTTCGTTTCCTCCAAGGAGTATGGTAACGGCACATGTCAAATCTGAAGGCCGCTTCTGGAGATCCAAAACCCTTCTGGCGCCAATCAGTCAGAAGCCAGAGGAAAGAACCATCTGGATTCTCAACCCAGTAGAGCAGGCCCATTTCTTGGCAAATAACTAAAAGCTCCAAAAGAAACTGTGCATGACTGTTTCCCACCTGGACCTTTCGTTGCATATTTTCCGAGATCTGTGGAAGACCTTCGGGTCTGAGCGCACTGCGTACTGCGGGTGTAACGGCTCTGGAAAAGCTGCAGCACTCCGGAGCCACACCCATCCCGTGAAAACAGCCAGCTAAAAGGCATCTTTTGATATCGGATCCAAGAGACTCATTGAGAAGATCTTGTCTGGGACCGTGTTCGAAATCAAAGGTGACCACAAAAACAGAAAATCGCCTAGCCATAGAGCGAGCAAAAGAGGCTTTGCCGCTGAAGAGATCCAAAAAACCCTTCCGCTGGAAATCCAAAACTTCATCAGGTCTTGCTCGCCTTCCATCAGGTTTGATGAAGCACTCCCTCGGTAGAAGAGCCAAGGCTGCTCTTGCTTCACTGGACAGCAAAGCAGACTTCACATTTTCCATGGCTAGCCCACCCCGCTGACGACGTGAGACGGATTCACCTACGGGGGGCTCATCAGGAGAGCCGGTGCCTACTACTTTCTTCATTTCTGTAGGCTGGGGTCGGCCTTCACAACCAACAAAAAGATTCAGGTGCCTCCGGTTCGTTTTCCCTGGAGGTTCTTCATTGGAGTTCTTGGTTTGGCCATCAGGCTCTTGTACCCCTTCATCTTTCGCAACCAAGACGGGTGAAACGTGACTAGACGAAACGGTATTGCTACCTACGCAATTCTGCTCTTCAGTTTTCTTGGAAACAACAGCATGGTGAGGGCCAAAAGCAAGTTCAGCATCTTGAGGCCTCTTGTGATCCTTTTGTTCATTGGCCCCAGTGGCCGGAGTTTCAAAAGTCTTCCAATCCTTCGGATCGGTTCCGTAGATTTTCTGATCAAACTTTGCTAATCGCTCGGTTTTCTGTACAGCTCGCAGCTCAGCTATCAAGCTATGTTCAAGGACATCCGCTTTGGGAGCTGTACGCAAAGGAAAAGGAAGCTGAGCAATGTCTAAAGGATCATAGCCACGCTCACCCAACCAAACATCCAAAGCATCAAAGCACCCAGAAAATGCTGCAAACAGCCAATCAGGAATGGGCCTGGATGGAGGCCTGATATCAGTCCACCTCGTCGGGTCATCACTGACGTTCGCTTTTGATGGGATATAGCCATAGCTCCCATAGAGCCCTGCTCCAAGAACGGTAGGCAAGCTCTTCTGTAGCAGTTCGTTCAGGTGTGGTGAGCTAGACCTCCCCTTCAACACGGCAGCAATGACAATCTGGCTGTCACAACCGCAGAGGTACCTGCTGTCTTGCTGATAGGCTGCGATCTTCTTTTCCAGCTCCAACAAACTCTCCATCTCAAGCAAGTTGATGTGTCTACGGGAACCTACTCGTTTTCGGTGATGAAGCTCAAATCTCAAGCACTGAGCCAAAATCAGCCACAAAGGGTGACTGACCAGTGGAACACCATCTGGCATGGCATCTTCCTCATCCAGTTGAAAGTGTTGCTTTAACCATACCTTCCAGGGAGTCAACAACCGGGTCCACGCACCTCGAGCAAGCGCCTGTCGGTGCAGCTCTCTGGCAAACGGCAACGGCAGTGCAGACACTACAGACGCTTTCATATCTTCTGAAGCATCTGTCAAAAACAGCTTCCCCAAAGTTTGGGCTCTGAGGTCGGTTACAGCAAGAGGCCCAAGGCAAACTAAAATCCAAAGCTCTGACTGCAGTGAAGGCGAAAGCTCAATGATCATGTCTTCTTCTCTACCGTGTTGAGCTACATAGATCTCATCCAGCAAGCACAACATGCGTCTCCGAAATTGAAGGACACTAATCCAAGCTCCCGCCAAAGTCTGCAGCAGTAACATAGTGGCAAACCCAAGGCGTGCTGTCTTCGCTGTCAGATCCATCAAGGGGATGAGTCTTTTGGGATTAGCACGAATAGATCCAGCTATACCATTCACCGATGCTCCACAAAACTCGGCTTCAAACTCAGCTTCAAAAGTCTTACCATCATGAGGTGTTAGATTCTTACCAACATACTCTTCCTTAATCGCCCTCAACCTTTTTGCACCATCAGTCCTCCCCAGCTCTGCCGGAGTCAGCATAGCGGGAACTTGCTCCAAAAACACGGCATCGCCGATGATGACCCCACAGCTGATCTTGCCGCGCGGGCCACGGCCATGGACGCAAAGCAATTCATGAGGATGGATGGCTTCACACTGCATACCTATCTTACCGTGGACCATCTGACCCATCTCTACAGCTTGACGCTTGACTATCGCCCATAGCCATAGTTGCAAGACAGGGATATAAAGTGCTATGCTGCCACATGTTGGGAGTAAAACAATGCAGTTCAGAAGCTTGTGCTGGTGAGAGGGGAAAATTGAATGTGTTGCGACATGCTCTCTGTTTGGTGACCTTGAAACAATAGTAATAATCACGAAGATCGGTGCCACTCATGCTGAGGTTGCATCCAGGCTCCAACTCAATCTGCAAAATGGCATTCACCGACCCCAGTGTTTTGGTCCAACTGCACAAAGTCTCCTCCAACATGTTTGGGGGTCTGGCGTCCAATATTAATCTATCTTTCTTCTCATCTTTCACCAAACAAAAAGCGCCGCAAAGAAAACCATCTCGAACTTTTTCTCTGGGAACGAGTCTCAACCGGTGATGTTCATCCAGGAATCTGAATAGTCCTAAAGCTTGGTCTTTGCTACCGTGAACACGCACCCTCGGAGGCTCCAACGAAAAATCTTCTGGTGAAATAGCACAAGAAATAGGATCTTCATAAACCTTCTTGTGTGGTTCTTCTAACATGGATGAGGGATCAAAGGCCGGAGCATCCTGAGGAAAAGAAAGCCGCGAAGGCTCCACACACTTCGCCAGCTGAGGCGCAGGCTTCTGCAAACGACCAACTACACGTCCAGGATCCCCTTTTTGGTGACCAGGCTGTGGCTCATTCCCATCAGATCGTTGTGCTGCAGGACGGTGCTCATAAGGGGCAGCAGTCTTCGCCGCTGCCGTCTCGAGCTCAACAAGGAGTGAAGACAAGCTCTCCACTTTGGCCGCCGAGCGTCCCATAGCGGCTGGACCAATGTCGCCAACCTGGAGGAACTCGCTGATCAGCCTCTCATATCTTTTCACCACTCCCCACTGCTTCTTCGTCAAGGAGGAGCCCAAAGCTAAGGTGGCAGGAGCAACCAGCGGTTTACCTAAATGAAGCCACGAAGATGAAAGAATCATGAGGTTGACAGCCTTCTCGACATACATCTGCTTGTAATTTACCTTACTCTTCTCTACCCGCATCATCCACTGTGGATAGGGAGCTGGTACAGGCCAAACGGGCTGAGCTGTGCCCTTGTCTGCCAAGGGTTCATGGCGTCCAAGAGTTCGCAAAAAACGTGCAAAGCCAGACTTCCCACTCAGGATCCAGCGAACTAATGAATTCCAGAGCTTGCCAATGTTGGAAATGGGGGCAAGAGCTCCAGGTACTGATAGGATTGCAGCTGTACCCTCAGCTGGGAACACCTCTACAAAGTGGCAATCCTCTTCCAGCTGAAGTTCATAGTCGGCACTCACTGAGGGGTCGAGGATGAAGCCGCTTCCTCGGGCTCCTTCCCTTTCTTTCCTCCTTTTCCCTTGCCCTTCTTCTGATCGTTCTTGGGCGGCACCTCCTCCTTCTTGGTCTTGGTCGCGGTGAGCGTCAGCTTCTTCTCCTGATACTCCGCGAGGTCCTTGAGTCTCGAAAGGAAGAGTTCGCTCCACCTTTCGTCCATCAATCTGGTGTGCTGCACTTCCCATTGCTCCGGAGGACTGTGTTGGGCGAAGCTTGCATAGGGCGGCGGGGGCTCCTGGGGGGCTCTAAGGTCATCTCTGATGCCAGAAGCCATCCCCCTCTGTCGCACGCTTGTTGGTGGAAGCAAGCTGTGGCTAGGGCCGCCCTCGCTCTGGCTTCGTCTACAGCTCCTCGCATGAGGCAGTCCCAAATGCCGGCACAAAGCCAAGCAGGTCGAATGGTCCCTGGGTAGGAGCTGATTCTGGAGCGATGCTCCAACCAACCCCGGGCAGAGATCTGAGTGATCATAGCTCCTGGAAGTCGTTGACCGCCCATCTCCCAATCCTCCTGCATGTGGCCTTCGGCCGCCTGATAAATGAGCTTCGGGTCTGTGTGCAGTAGTTTGTGCAACGATCGGAGAGCAGCCGCCTTGCTTCTTGTAGAGCCCACGGAATCCTTTGCTGAGCCAGATCCTGCGCGATCTAGAATGGACTCTAGGTCGCGATCCTTCTTCTGCTTCTTTTCTTTCCGCATCTCTTTGACGATCTTGCTCAGGCTGACCACTGCCCGATTCATAGGATCGAGGCTGCCAGAAGCGGCGCCCAGATGCTCGTCCTCTTCGTCGCTGTCGCTGACCAAGGCTTTGTCTGCGGCCTGCGGCGCTGCGGCGGGAGTCATCTGATTTTGCTGCTGCAACAAAAGGGCCACTTCTTCTAAAGACTTTTTGGAGACCCCAGCCATTAGCGCTTGCTGCACTACATGAGGATCCAATCCAGAGGGCGGTGCGAAGGAGACCCGCGGAGGATCTGGCTTTCTTGGACCATGGTCGCCATGAAGAGCAGATGGACGGGAGGAAGCCGCTCCCGGTTTCAACTGCTTCAAATTTTCTAAAATCTCGGCCATGGTGCCTTCCAGCTGACCCAAACGTGTTTCGACATCTGGAGTGCCATACACTGGTTTTGCTCCGCCGCTTTCGGCGCTGAGGAACACGAAGTGGTCGTGAGAGATGGCCACCAAAGCTTCGGCATGAGGCAGCATAGGCAACCCGACCGTGTCTGAAGGGAACAGGATGTCGTCCGGCAAAGCGTCCAAGCCGTAGGCGACGAGGTCCACATAGTCGGCCTTCAAAAAACCCAACCAGATTTTGATGCCTGTGCCATCCTCTGGTACCGTTCGATCCAAACCGGATCCAACTCTGGCTTCGACGCGAACAGCCTTCTGAAGAGCGTCGTCCGGCATATGGCGACGTGCCTTCTGCCGATGCCATGCCAAATCAGGCACAGCCACAAGTGCTTGTTGATCAACTTCACAAACCCCTATGATACTAACTTTGGGCCTGCTTCCAAAAGAAATAAAACCAACTTGATAGTCAAACACAATCTGAGAATCCGAGGTCACAAAATTGTCAAAGAGCCCAGTTGCCTCGGGTACAGCTGAGCCCTCCTCTTCTGTAACGTCACTCAGCTCCTCAAGGCTGGCCATCCAGGCCAATCAATTCAGCTGGCAGGACTAAGCCTGCCGCCAAGACAGCCAGGTAGCACTCGCGCTTGGTAGGAAGCCCAATGAAGATGCTGTCACCCACTTGTCCTCGGCACTGGACCCTTTCCTTGCAATCGGGCCAGTTGGACAAGAAGAGTGGAGGATCGTAGAGGTTGCGATGAAAATCACGCACCGCCAAGTAGTAGCGCGTCTGCTGGGGAATGCGCTCACGGCCAGACAATCCTCTGGCCACACCGTCGATGCTCTTTGCCAGCCAACGACCAATGTCGCGAGCTGCGGCCTCACGTTCAGGCCCAACGTGGTATCCAGCAACTGGAGCTGAGGAAGCCTGAGAGGACCGAGTAGCACTGCTCACTTCCCTGGCTGGTGAGGCAGAAGCCCCAGGTGTCCTGCTCTCCAAAGCGGAGAGCCTTTCTTGGACTGATCGAAGGTCAGATCGGAGATCACCGGTGTCAAGCTGAAGTCGCTCAACCAGTGCAATGAGGGTATCTAACTTGGTTTCAATGTCACTAGCTGTCACCCTCATACAAGCCTATACCACTCACCTTGCCTCGCCACCAAATCCCTCAATCTGGTCCTCACCCACCAACGCCAAGAGGCACGTAGCAGGATTAGCAGGTCCAACAAAGGGCCCAAAGATAGCCCTACCAGAATGCCCACAGCCACGCTGAGCAGATCCAGTGAAGCCCAAGAAATCGAAGGTAAAGTTGGCAGAGGGCAGTCACAAAGAGGGCACTCAACTGAGACAGGCACAGGAATAGGAGACTGAACGGTTTCGGTCAGAAGTCTCCAGACTATGGCTGAAAAGGATCCTCCGGCCGCTCCTAAGGTGAGGGGCCTGTCAACCATTAGCTCGTGCCCAAAATCTAACAGTCAGGAAATGCATGATGAGATCATATATATATATATACATATATATATATTATATATCTGTGTGTGTGTGCGTGTGTGGCATAGTATGTAATGGCATTTTAAAAAAACTGTATTGTAATGCTAAAACATGGAATCATCAACAAAGAAGCTGTTGCAACTGTTGGTGCATGTTTTCGCATGATCACACCTCGCAAATCGAACTATGGCTCGCCCCCCACAGATGAGCCATATCCAGTAGCTAAAACCATCTTTGAGATCCCATGTTTTGGGTTCCAGGTTAACTTGAGCGGGACACCCTCTGGCAACCAAACATGGTAAGGGAACCTCCTCTTCTTTGACCCATCTGTAGATTTTCATAGATAATTTTCTCATGTCAAAATGACGGATATTGCGATGTTAAATGACCAAAGGGCAAGTGGCGGCAAGTGTGAGCACAGTTACGGTAGCAACTGGGCTGTATACCTACATGGAATATTCGAGGATAGACACGGACCAATGGACAAGCCGCAGGTACTAGCCGCTATCAATTTCGGAATTCATCCCATTCTTGAGGCTGGCTTCCAAATTTCTCAAAGTCCCCAAAAGCCATAGATATGCTGCCCACCAGTGGCAACCTTTCCTCATCGGTGGCTGGATTCAACTGGAATCTAGAAATCATACAGTAGCAGTGGCACTTCCAACAAACCACCGTCAGTTCTGGGTTGCATCCCCATCTTATCTGACTAAAATCTCACAAATGTTGATAGATGTTGGCAGGTGTCCTGCTAAAAACTTGCAACTATCAGCCAATGTCCAATGTGTTTCATGTTTTCATCTCAATGATTGCTGATTCCTGGTTGTTTGTTTGTAAATTGCGAAACAAATCAGCGTAGAATCACTCTTACTTCACGAAAAAACCATCATAAATCACCATCAAATCGCTGATTCCCCCGTCTTTCCGGCCGTGATTTTCTCCCAAACAATGCATCTCCTGCTCCGTGATCTCCGACTCATCGCTATCCAAACTATCCAAACCCTGGAAGGTCACCGACCTGGCGCGCGTGTTTTTGGGATCAAAAACCTGGTCGAGTTTTTGGAACCCACATGTTTTGCCACTATTTTCAGTGGGGTGTTGCGACCGTCGATCTTTTTGGGGGTTACTAAACATACATATATTGTATTATATGTTATATATATATACTGTATTCATGACATTCAGACTTAAATTGTCCATTCCAGACAAATGAAACGTCAACATAGCTGAGATGGCGATAATTTTGAGTGCTTCGAATGATTCAAATGTTGAGTCAGTTTCCTTCATCCTAAACATCATTTACATTCATTTAAGTCGTGACATTGCAGTGAGGTCGTGTCATAATTCATCCGCAAACATTGGAGCCCTATGGGATACTTCGGATACGTTCTGGTAATCAAACATGGCAATGGACATGTGCCCATTTAGAGATGCTTTCCCCATGTTTAATGCCCATTGACGGGATTTCCATTGCCATGTTTGATTGGCGGAGGGTACTGGAGGGGGATCTTATCGGGTCCCATTTTTTTGCGCAAATTCCAAGTCGAAACCAACCCCAAGTAGGATCTTGATAAACAAACAGGGATGACTATTACTACCAGATATGTCGGGATATTACTATATAAACTACCAGATATTATTACTACAGTACTACAGTGTTACTACAGGATATTCGAATCCATCTACCAAGATGGGATGATGAGACTGGTGAAACGCAATTCGGAGCACTGATTGGGCCACCCCAGTTACGCCGGAAACAAAGAAAACGAGGCAAACATCATGAAAGTCATGAAACGTCTATGTCAAATTACTCGGAGTTGACATATCCCATCTCACAAATTGTCAACCAATCCCAAAAGAAAAGAATTGCCCTCAAAGCTGTTGCATGTTGATTTCTGGCTTGCAGGAATCCACTGATATCTTTCCAGGAAACGATGAGTCAGCATTTTGGCCGGTCGTCAATAATGAATAATTACCAAATATCAATTCGGCATAAGATTTCAGGCGTCAAAGAAACAGTCTGGATGGATTTGTCCTTCAGTAGCACCCATGGCAAACCCCTCTGAAATCATCATTCTCAAGTGATCCCACAGGGGTGGCCCCTTCCCGACGCCGGGTCCCTTATCCACCAAACCTGGCAGTGGTCACTGTAACTGTTGTCGCCTGCTGAGCACTGAAGGGCTGCTATTTGATGGTGAATACTTGATACGCAAGTGAAAGATACGCGCGTTGTTGTGAGTTATATATATATAATATTATATTGTGTGTGATGATCGTGTGTGTGCACGCACATGTATACATGATAAGATGCATACACGTGTCACATCATAATATATATATATGTGTGTGTGCGGACACGTATATATAATAGTTATTTTATGCTAATTATGCATATCTATTTATAAATTTTCAATGTGCAAGCAGACTTGAATGTCCAAACTTCAGATTTCAAATCACAGGCGGAAAAAAACAGTGCAGATCAGACCACCCTTGAGCTACCCATTTTTGACCCCTACGCCATCACAGAACCCCCTGAAAATCGAAAGAATCTGAAAACACACCAAGTCTGAAAAACGACTCTGGTGTTGACACCAGCTTCTTGCAATGTCAGTAAAGATTAGTATAGCAAAAATAAACCACCCATCATTGGTTTTGTCAATGGTTGGAATCCCATCCCATGTTTGACGCCTGAGCCACCGCCATGGCGCTCCGACCTTCGCAGAACCTGGGCAATCTCAACGTGACGAAGGTCGAGAGTGACCATGATGGGCGCCCAACCGTAAAGAATTGTCATAGAACTCCTTTTTTCCTCATCATTTTCCCCAAAAAGATAGGAGATGTGATGGCCATGGATCTCTTGACGATCTCTGGTAGCCCTGAGCCGCCCCGCTGATCCTTCCTGGTACCCGACTGAAGAACGTGACTTGAGCCGAAGACCATTGACGCCGGTGCCGTCCATCCAAGCTTGGCCGAAATATGCCCAAATCTCGGCAATGGCAATCTAACCTACCAATAAACAATTATTCAACTTATCATTTCTAGTTTATTTTTCGGTAAAGGTTCTGGTTTGCTATTGTCAGGTCAGATTGGTCAGATTGCTAGAAGGAAACAACCAAGAACTGGAGAAACCATAGATGTTTGAAATTTCGAAAGCAGCCTGTAGACTAACGTTAATTCGAGCATCGCCTACCCATCTGTGATTACCAGAAGGTGAACCACGGTGAGCCAGTTTGAATCTGCAGAATCAGCCAAATCAGCGACGGCACGCCCTGTAGCCGCTGGCCACTCAGGGCCTGCGACAAGAATTAAAAGTTCTGGCAGGATCCCTTGGAATCATTGAATCACTTAGCCACTGGGGCTCACTGGGCTGAATAGGCTTATCATGGCTTATCTATAAGCTTTAATTTAAGGGAAACGACCTCCAAAGTACAGTCGGCAAAGGAACATCAAGAGTTGGAATCAAGGCCACTGGCGAAGTCCATCCCCAAAGTCAGCAACCTCCAAAAGATGGAAATTTGAAAAGTGATTTATAATAATTTGATCATGATTTTTATTATCATGTGTTATCACTATTTCATACTATTTCGACTATTTCTGTCGGATTGTACTTTTCTATTTTTTAGGGATTGCTGGCACTATGATGGTCACTTCTTGGGGCTTCAACTGGATCAATATGACATCACCCCAGTCATTCCCAGCACCAGTGGGTGACATCAGTGGCACTTCTGCCGCTTAGTCAGAAGATATGGACACAAACCAAAGAGGGAATAGTTCTTCAGTGGAAGATATGGCAAGGCAAAACCCGTTGGCACCAACGCCACCGCTTCCATTTTGATGACCAAATATGTGTTTCAAAAAAAATGTGAGGCCATACAGCTGAAACCGACAGGTCGCCTTTTCACGGCTTCATCTGAAGACCCTGTACATAATGCACATAAACCGCAAACAGCACGCGACACGGCAAACTGCGCCGCAATGTCTGGGTGCCACCCTGTACCATTTCACTGTGCAGGCGAAGTGACCTCCAGAGGTGGAAGCGCGAAGGCAACACAGCACGCAACGACCAGCTCTGGTTGGTGGTTGACCTACCCCTCTGAAAAATATGAAAGTCAGGGATTATTCTTCCCAATATATGGGAAAATAATCCAAATGTTCCAAACCACCAACCAGAGCTTGAAGCGCACCCCTCCTCCAAGAATTAGGCGGCCATGACATAAACAGCTTCTCGCTCCTCGGAGGCACAATGGCTGAGTCCAAGCTATGCAACAAGTGATGGTAGGGACAGCAGTTGTGCAGTGATCGTAGATGATAGGAGGCTACAACCATAGCTGCTGTTCCGCATGAACATCCAACCAGTTTTGACCGTTGTGGTGATTTTGTTCCCAGGGTTTACTAGTCTTTTTTTTCAGCCATATCCCAGGATCATCCAGGATCTTAATGCCAAATTCACCAGTCATATCCATCAGACCCAGCACCCTGGATTTTGCAGATGTCAGCAGTGGCACTGAGCATGGACATGAAAAAAAATATTTCTATCAGCCTCTATTGTTCTTGTACTATTTTGTCACTCCCCTAAAAGTCTCAACATGTCTCAACATGTCTCAACCATCTCAAACCCAACCGCTCCTGAGATTCTTGAAAAATCCTAGCTACTTGCACGTCATCCTGTGGCCGAAAAGTCAACGCTGGATAACGCTGGTATTTACACGCGTTTACAGGGTGCAACTCAGCAGCGGCCAGGTGGAATGCCTGAGATTAGAATAGCGATCAAAAGGTAGGGCATGCCGAAATCATCCAGAATTAGAGGCCCAAACTTCAAGACACTTCTTGCCTTCAAGAAAACGTAGAATAACTATGAAGAAAGTTTGGGGGGGCTCAGGCGTCTGACTTCTCCATATTATATACTCCAGAAATGGATTACCTCTCGCTGATGAACTGACTTTGTTTTGCAGTTAAGAAAGAG